TTTCTCAACCTTGGCCGCTTGAAGATGGGTGGCCTTCAACTCCCAGAATTCCCCAGCCAGCAAGGGGAATGAAGTTGAAGTCCGCCCATCTTCAAGCGGCCAAGGTTGAGAAACACTGCTCCAGAAGCTGCAATTTCCACATCTGCAAAGGGCCAGGATGAGGAAAAGGGCCTATCAGCTCCCGCTGGCATAATGGAAAGATACAAGCACTACATGTCCCTATTTATTTAGCCATCTTATTTGTCCCTTCACCTTCTCATCAATTCCTATGGAAACCACCATGATGTGGCTCGATTCCTCATTTCATTAGCCCAGGAAGACTGCTGCAGACAGAGGCCCAGCCGATCACAGGCCATTTACAGAAACCTTCCTTTCCGCGCTCCCTAAATCTGGGTTCCCCACCAAGCAGGCTTGATGGTATCAGGGCTTCTACGCCGACCTCCAAGAAATATCACACGGCCTTAGGACGCTCTCCAGGGAGTATATTATGGCTGCAGCCTTAATCACCCTCCCTGGGGATCCCAATAATAACCACAATTTATTGCTTTTTTTTCCCCCCAAGTGAAAAAACATCCATTTGAAGGGTTGTAGTTTTAAGACTGTTTCAATTTTATCTTGGGGGGAAAACGGGCCCACGACACATACCCAGCTGCAGAAGGAAGGCACAGATGCATGAAGATGCACAAAGAGGACTCGACCCATCGTTCAAGCACTCGGAGATGCCCTTTTTAAAAGATACAGGCATCCTTTGGATCTTTGAGGCAAAAAATGATACGCCTCTTTTCCCAGAAGGTGCTGCAGCCCGTGGTGGAAAGAGCTGTGCGGCCCTTAGAAACAACCCAACGAACAGAAGGATCAGCCTCGCCAAAGGAAATCAGGTATGACTTCTCCAAGTTCAACAAGCAGACGTCTGCCTTCTCTTTCAATGCATGAAAAGCAAGCAGCGGACAGCCGTTTTATGCTTGGGAGTTTGAAAAACCAACTAGCCGTGCTCGCCGGCGGCGTAGCTGTCTTTTAAAACAAATAAAAGAAATTCAGAGTGGAGAAGACCATCCCTATTGCATTCAGGGATCAAGGCACAATGGGCTTTTGACCTCCGACGGTTGGAGAACGCCACCAAGCCGTCTCTTGCCTTCAAGCCCAACGTGCGGGTTTCTCATCCCACTGGTTGGCCACTGTGGGAAGCAAATGCTGGCCCACAGATTCCTTTGGGCAACTCTAACACACAGCTCTTCCTATGACTTAGGTCTTTCCCCATGAAATAACCGCTAACCTCAGCTGGTATTTGTTCACCGCCTTCTGCAGAGCAATTAAAACAGAGCCGCGCTTGTGCACCACAGGCCCTTGATACAGGAGGCACACAGAAGGCACTGCTCGTGTCAACATTTGAAAAGCTGTTTTAGAAAATAAAAGTGATGGCTCATCCGGAGAAAATCAGAGCCCTCGCAGAGCCCTGAAGCTGACGTGCAGTCAAAGTTCAGCACGATCCCAGGACATTAAACCCGGAGTAGACCTCAGTTATATCAAAAAAGCTTCAGAAATGGCTAGCTAAAACTCTCCTGGCTTCAAAGGGTCTACTCTAAGTAAGAGTACATCCAGACCAAATGCAAGAGAGGCAGTGCTTCATTGCTGCTGGCCCACATCTAGGAGGGGAGACCGAAACCCGGTTACAAATTACAGCTGGATTCAAACATGATGTTGACCATACAGAATGCAAAATCATAAGCCATGGCTCAGCATCGTGTCTACATATGACTACAGCAGTACTTACCACACCCATGCAAGAGGGACCAGCAGTCCCATATTTTGGAAGACAGAGAGAACTCTAAGCTTTATAAAGCCACCAGGCTGGATTGTGGTTAACGGAGAGCAGGATGATAACCACCTATTCTGAAAATCACCCTGGTCATTCAGAGGGCGATCTATTGACTCAGTTATTAGTTTCAAGGAAACAAATTTACCCAGGAAACTACTGTACATGGAATGCAGAGTCATACAAAGTGGGGGGGGGGGAGCCTACTCTGCGCATGGCCAGAGGCACTCCCACCTTTGCACAATCAGGTACAAAGTTACATTAGCAGAAGTTGGCATCTTCTGAAAAGCTGCAACTCACCAGCTTCTGGCTCAAATTCCGCCTTGTAATTTATAATCCAGGGTAATTTGTTGAACCTGACATTCTTTTAAGGCTTCAAACTGCCTGCGGCCACGTCCCACCCTTTTTATCAACACGTGTATAAAACTTAATCCCCCCCTCCAATTATTTAATGAAATCAAACAATGGTTTGAAAATACCATCATATCTGGCAAATTACACCAGAAATCTCTATACAAACAACCAAAGATCACAAAAGATCTAGCTAAGGAGCGTCAGGCTAGGTAAACCACACAGGAACGCTATTTTAATCCAGGCCCCGATTATCACAACTAACATTCTATCCATTAAAACTGTTCCAAGAGCCGCAACCGCCTATTACAGGAAAATAGGCAGATGTTCAGACGGGGAGTGTGAAACGAAACTTAAGCATGTGATTTAAGGGGGAAAAAAAACTGCCATGCAATTTTTCAAACACATGTCTTCCAAAGGTCCTGAGACTAACTCAGAAAAGCCTTCCCCAAAGCAACCTTTGATACAAAAATCATCTTCGGAAATTTGAGTTCTGGATTTTGGGAATATGCCATATTTCTGGTCACTTGAGAGCCAACACCATTTGCATTAAGTTATCCTCAAGATCCATATTTCTAAAGAAGTCCAAAGATACACGCTCTGAGTTGCTTTCTCTGTTACATCCAGAGAAGGTTGTACAAAATTATATTTTTGTCCCAAGACTAACCAATGCCATGAAAATGCATTGATAAATTTTGTTAGAAGTTTCTGTTTCGGAAACTGCAAATATGCATGTTTGAAACACTGAAGAGAAGAGAGACCATCACCACCCCCTCCCTTTTATACAGGGTTTGCCCTTTGGGCACAGATTAACTACAGTCCTTCTGCTCAAAGCAACGATGTGTGGAAGTTTAGAGAAAGAGAATGAGAAAGTTGAGGTATTTCATTAAGGAGGATTGTGGCTTGTTTTCTGATATGTGTGAATCCAGGTTTTGCGGCATTTAAACCCTCTTTTTGGCTTAATGTCACGGCTAAACCCAGCCCATTGTGATTTGTTCACGTGTAAACCAAGCCACGGCTTAGAGTGATGCAGACATGCAGGAATTTGCCCAGTTCTCCAATCAAGCAGCAATTTCAAACAAAGTTACCCAGTTTAGGGCTGTCTCGTACACCGAGTTATTCAGAAGTTGGGAATAGGGCCCCAGAATTAAACAGAAGGTGTTTTGCCAGGGGACAAACCAAAGTTTCAGTCTTTGGCTGTGTTCACACCTCAGGCTTCACCAGGTCCGTTAAAAAAAACACTAGAAAATCCATTCACACAACCTGAGCTTCCTCCTCACAATGCGTTTTATTTTACTTTTGGCTTCACGGGTTGTGCAAATCGGCCCATTTGGCTAGCTAAGCCCTCGCTCAGTCTTTCGCAAACTCGGAAAAGGGATGAAGGCCGGGGGTTGTGCGAACGCAGCCCAGCAGCACCTTCCCTTTTCTCCCGGGGAGCCTCCCTTTCCCCAGGTCCGAAGGTG